CTTCTGGGTTCCATTTTGTCATAGGTTGCTGGCAGATTACGGGCGTCTCCCATTGCTGCTGCCAGGCCTGTAATCTGCCATGGGCCCCTGTACCGCCTCCTCATGCTGCTGCCAGGTCCACAGTGTCTCATGGGTCCCTTTACCGCCTCCCATTGCTGCTGTCTCCATCGCCACACTCTGCCATGTGCCACTTTCAGGTCTCCTCACACTGCTGCTGGGTTCCATTTTGTCATAGAGTGCTGGCAGATTACGGGCGTCTCCCATTGCTGCTGCCAGGCCCCTAATCTGCCATGGGCCCCTGTACCGCCTCCTCATGCTGCTGCCAGGTCCACAGTGTGTCATGCCATGTGCCACTTTCAGGTCTCCTCACACTGCTGGTGTGTTCCATTTTGTCATAGAGTGCTGGCAGATTACGGGCCTCCCATTGCTGCTGCCAGGCCCCTAATCTGCCATGGGCCCCTGTACCGCCTCCTCATGCTGCTGCCAGGTCCACAGTGTCTCATGGGTCCCTGTACCGCCTCCCATTGCTGCTGTCTCCATCGCCACACTCTGCCATGTGCCACTTTCAGGTCTCCTCACACTGCTGCTGGGTTCCATTTTGTCATAGGATGCTGGCAGATTACGGGCCTCCCATTGCTGCTGCCAGGCCCCTAATCTGCCATGGGCCCCTGTACCGCCTCCTCATGCTGCTGCCAGGTCCACAGTGTCTCATGGGTCCCTGTACCGCCTCCATTGCTGCTGTCTCCATCACCACACTCTGCCATGTGCCACTTTCAGGTCTCCTCACACTGCTGCTGGGTTCCATTTTGTCATAGAGTGCTGGCAGATTACGGGCGTCTCCCATTGCTGCTGCCAGGCCCCTAATCTGCCATGGGCCCCCGTACCGACTCCTCATGCTGCTGCCAGGCCCGTAATCTGTCATGGGCCCCTGTACCGCCTCCTCATGCTGCTGCCAGGTCCAGAGTGTGTCATGGGTCCCTGTACGGCCTCCCATTGCTGCTGCCAGGCCCGTAATCTGCCATGGGCCCCCGTACCGACTCCTCATGCTGCTGCCAGGCCCGTAATCTGTCATGGGCCCCTGTACCGCCTCCTCATGCTGCTGCCAGGTCCACAGTGTGTCATGGGTCCCTGTACGGCCTCCCATTGCTGCTGTCTCCATTGCCACACTCTGCCATGTGCCACTTTCAGGTCTCCTCACACTGCTTGCTGGGTTCCATTTTGTCATAGAGTGCTGGCAGATTACGGGCCTCCCATTGCTGCTGCCAGGCCTCTAATCTGCCATGGGCCCCTGTACCGCCTCCTCATGCTGCTGCCAGGTCCACAGTGTCTCATGGGTCCCTGTACCGCCTCCCATTGCTGCTGTCTCCATCGCCACACTCTGCCATGTGCCATTTTCAGGTCTCCTCACACTGCTGGTGGGTTCCATTTTGTCATAGGGTGCTGTATGGCCTCCCATTGCTGCTGCCTCCACCGCCACACTGTGGCTCCACACTCTGGTTTTGGCCCCGTGACTGCCCAAATGAGTGAAGTGTGCGGTGATTCTAAGATCGACGGCACTCATCTGCATGTCATACTGACTGACAGTATTATTTCTCTTCCCCAGCAGACTCCAAGGGCATTAAAATTAAAGGTACAGTGTTCTGCACTAATATAAAGGCTCTCTGAAGCCTAGAAACACCCTTTTATAAGTTAAATTCGCAGCGAATATATTCGACTCGAATCGAAATTTTTTCACGAATTCGCCGAATCAGTCGAATTGAATTTTTGAATAATTCACTCATCTCTAGTTACCAACCATCATCAGGAATTTTTACGTCTGGATGTTATCACCTCTCCTCTATTTCCTGTTATACTGGGTCTCCCTTGGCTATGGGCGCACGACCCTCAAATTTAACTGGAAGTCAGGCTCGATCCAATTTTCTCTCTCCTTACTGCCGGAAACAGTTTACCCAAGATATCCTCAATTCCACCTACCCTACTATGCATGGACGCTGATGTGGAACTTTTTCAAATAATTCCCGCTGTCTACCATGACTATCTTGATGTATTCAGTAAATGGGGCGCATATATACTTCCTTCTCATCGATCCTATGACTGTCCGATCGATTTGCTTCCCGGGTCTGAAATCTCTTTTGGACGGATCTTTCCCCTATCTGAACGGGAACTAGGAGTCTTAAAGGAATACATTGAGGAGAATCTCCAGAAGGGGTTCATTCGACCCTCCACTTCACCAGCTGCAGCTGAAATATTCTTTGTGGAAAAGAAAGACAAGTCTTTGCGGCCCTGCGTGGATTACCGGGAATTAAATAAAATCACTGTTAAGAATCGGTACCCCCTTCACTTGGTCCCTGAACTGTTCCAGAGACTCAAAACTGCCACCATCTTCACTAAGTTGGACTTGAGAGGGGCATATAACCTGGTCTGCACACGGGAAGGGGACGAGTGGAAAACAGCCTTCCGCACCTGTTTCGGCCACTTTGAATACCTGGTCATGCCGTTCGGGCTGTGCAATGCTCCGGCTACATTCCAACACCTCATAAATGATATTTTCAGAGATTACCTGGATGTTTTTGTTGTCATATACCTGGATGACATTCTGATTTTTGTCGCATCTCTGGAAGTACACCGAGACCATGTCAAATGCGTACTGGGACGACTCCGTCAGCATGGATTATACGCCAAGGCGGAAAAATGTAACTTTGAGCAACAGAGCATCCCATTCCTAGGTCTGATCATCTCTACTTCTGGAATTGCTATGGATCCTCAAAAAATTACAGCAATTTTGGAATGGCCAGTCCCCTCAGACAAAAAAGGAATTCAACGGTTCATTGGCTTTGCGAATTTCTACTGGAAATTCATTAAGAACTTCTCGGGCCTCATTTCTCCTATCACTCAGCTCACCAAGTTAGGAGTCCGTTTCCATTGGACCCCTGAGGCATAGGCGGCCTTTGAGACTCTAAAGAAGCTATTCACAGCGGCCCCCGTCTTAATCCATCCGGACTCCTCTCTTCCTTACATTTTGGAAGTAGATGCATCTGAAAACGCAGTAGGGGCAGTCCTTTCACAGCGGAAAGGCCTTAAAGAACTAATACATCCAGTAACCTTCTTCTCTAGGAAGCTCACCCCAGCTGAAAGGAACTACGATGTTGGGGACCGGGAACTCTTGGCAATAAAGACAGCATTAGAGGAATGGAGATACTTGCTGGAAGGGGCCATGCATCCAATTCTGATATACAGTGACCACAAGAATCTAGAATATTTAAGGACTGCTAAACGTCTCAAACCAGGCCAGGCTAGATGGGCTCTGTTCTTCTCCAGATTCGTCTTCCATATAACCTACAGACCAGGATCCAAAAACACTAAGCCAGATGCGCTTTCACGCATGTCCGAGGAGCCAAAGAAATCTCCAAAACTGAACACTATTCTGCCAGCAGGAAATTTCTTACTGTTACAATCTGAACTTTTGTCTCAATTGCAACAAGCATCAGTGGGAGCAGCCAGCCCACCTGGTATCACGGCACAGAGCAGGGAAGGACTTCTGTGGAAAGGGGAGCAAATTCTGGTACCCGAAGGTGCACGAATTCTTGTTTTGGGTTACTGCCATGATCAACCATTAGCAGGCCATTTCGAGGTCTCTAAAACACTAGAATTGGCCCAACGCGCGCTCTGGTGGCCTAACATGGCGAAGGATTGCAAATTATATGTAAGGACTTGCACCATCTGCAATCGAAACAAAACCTCTTAAAACAAGGCCTGGGGTTTACTAAAACCCCTGCCAGTACCTGATAGGCCTTGGAAAATGATAAATATGGACTTTTATAGTAGAACTTCCACCCTCCCAAAGACATACCACCATTTTTGTAGCAGTGGATTGGTTATCAAAGATGGCCCACTTTTTGCCACTAAGGAATACACCCTCTGCTGTAGAAACTGCTCAAATTTTCATTAAGGAAATCGTAAGGCTCCACGGAGTTCCTATGAGCATTGTCTCCGACAGGGGAGTACAGTTTACTTCAAGATTCTGGAAGGCACTATGTGAAAATCTTGGAAATTGAGTTATCCTTCTCCTCTGCCTACCACCCACAAACAAACGGACAGACTGAACGAACCAATCAGACTCTGGAACAATACATCAGATGTTACACTTCCTTTCTCCAGGATGATTGGGCGGCACTCTTGCCTCTGGCAGAGTTTGCGTATAGCAACGTTAGTCATTCTGCCACTAAACAATCTCCATTTTTTGCTAACTATGGGTTCCACCCTACCTTTTTACCTGATCTAGTCCCAGAAACTTCTGTACCTGCTGCTCAGAACACGATACATTTTTTTTGTCTCTAACTGTAACGGAGGAAAGGCAGGACAGAACACACAGAGTGGATGGCAGACGCACAAAGCTTTATTGAGACAAACAGACGGCAGTCCTTCAATACGTTGGGTGGCAGAGAGGGTGGATTTGCCACTGAAGGGTAACGATGGGGCCCCACCCACTTATAGTCCACTAGGAGAGCCAAGGGGGTGTCCCTGTAACAGGGGTAGTCCGACACAGGAGAGGGGTGCAAGGAGTCACCACTGCAACAGTTCAGGTAACACAGTGGGGGGAAGCAGGGACTCACGGATCCAACAGAGTGTCTGGTCTCCCAGGGGTAGAAACAGAACGCAGGTACCTGTGGAATCTGGATCAGGCAGGTGGCCTCTGGCTCTGGCAGACGGGCTGTGGTAGTCTCTCCCCCTTCTGTGGGGTCTCTCGCAATTGCAGGCAAGCTTTCTCTGGTTGTCTCTTCCCTCCTGTGGGGTCTCTGTGAGGTAGGCTTGCAGAGTCTATTCACAAGGGTCTCGCCGAAGCTTGAGATCCCTTGCAGACTACACACCAGAAAGAATAGGAGCTCCCAGCATCCACCTCTTAAACTGCTGCAGGACGCTCCCCGGTCGCCTTGGCAACCGGGAGGGGGAAGGGAACACTAGACCCCAGGGAGAATCAGGCTGGTGACAGGGACATCCTGGGGGCAGGGATGCTGTCTGCATAGATGAAAAGCAGGTTGGGAGGTGTGCAGAGAGCTCCCAGCCAGCTGGCCAGGAGGGAGGGGGCCCAGAGTAATTTGATATGGCCATTTGGCCTAGTGACACAGGGGACAATTGGAACAATACAGAGCAGGACACTGAGGGCATGTGATACAAGGCATTATTAAGGGGATTAATAATTGGCAGGCTCCCATAACGTGACACTAACAATAAATTGTTACAGGAGACGGTTGTAAAATCACAGGAGGACAACAAGAGGGTCTTCGACAGAAGAAGAAGGGGGGAACTGATTCTGCACCCAGGAGACCAGGCCTGGTTGGCTACAACTAATCTGAAGATGGCATACCCTTCGAAGAAGTTGGCACCAAGATTTGTGGGTTCATTTCCGGTAAGATGCAGGATTAACAATGTCTCATACGAACTTCCAGAATCCATTAGAGTATACCCAGTTTTCCACGTGTCACTATTGAAGCCTGCAGTACCCAATCCATTTCCTAATTGTAGGTCAAGGCCCCCTTAGCCCATAACTGTGGATGGGGAAGAAGTATTTGAGGTCGAGGCTGTTGTGGACTGTAGAAAAAGGAGGGGTCAGATACAATATCTTGTTAAGTGGAAGGGTTATGGTCCAGAGGAGAATTCATGGGAACCAGCCCAGAATGTTCATCCTGCAGACCTAGTTCGGGAATTTATTCACAGTCACCACAAAAGAGGAGCCAATTGGGCATCCGGAGGCTGCCCATGGGGGGGGGGCAATGTCAGGGAATGAGAAGATCGCCGCGGTGCATGAATCTGCGCATGCGCAGGATCCCGACAAGGCATACAGGCAGGCAGGCACTAGGACCCAGGCGCGCCTATCGGCGCCGGGCGGGCTATTTAAACGGGCCACTGCAGGATCCAAATTGCCGTATGGTCTTATTCCTCTGCCTGTGATTCCTGATTCTGAGTTGTTTCCTGTTGCCAAACCCAGCCTGCTCCTGACTATCGTGACCTTCGCCTGCCCTGACCCCTGGCTTGTCTCTGGATATTCTTCTGCCTGCTCCTGATCATTCTGACCTCCTGTTGCTGAACCTGACCTGTGACCCGACTATCCCTCTGCCTGCTGCTCTGGTCTGCTCTGCCTTCTCGGATATCGAACCCGGCTCGCCTGACTCCGCTACCTGTCGCACGGATCCATCTGCATCCTGCTCTGGTCTGATCTGCCTCTTCACGTCAGGCTCACTACTAAAGCACGTGACACTAGCGGTCTCCTCTACCGCAGCTGGGCATACCTGGGGGCCGCGACCTGGTCTCAGCCTGCTCCAAGTCCATCCCCACCATCAGGGGCTCTGGTGAACAAGCAGACTGGGGCTTAGACCCTGCACCCTGGGGAATCCCCAAACTGTGGACCTATAGAGCTACTGCTAGAGTCGTGACACTCAACCCCAAACTCACTCATCCACGTCTTTATGGACTTTGCTTTGTGCACTGGTGCGCAGTCATGTTGGAACAGGAAGGGGCCATCCCCAAAGTTGGGAGCATGAAATTGTCCAAAATGTCTTGGTATGCTGTCACCTTAAGAGTTCCCTTCACTGGAACTAAGGGGCCAAGCCCAAGCCCTGAAAAACAAAACCCGACCATAATCATAATCACCCCTCT